TGGGCTAATGAGTTTTACATTTAAGCTTTCAGAACAGTATGCTCTGCCCCATCAGTACAAGAGAGAAGGCAGACCTTGTGCATCCTGACCTCCAGGGACCTGCCTTCTAAGAGTCACTACCTCTGTCTAACCTTGGGAAGGATACAGTGGCCAGAGAGTGCTTGAGGGGAAGGATACAGTGGCCAGAGAGTGCTTGAGGGGAGAAGTCTGCCTTATTTTGCCTGAATCTTTCATGCTTTGGGTCACTCAGCATTCAGCCAGCTTCTGTCGAGCCCCTGTGGGAGTCTAAGCACTGTGCCAGATGGGTTAGGAGCAGATTCCCCCCACCCCTGGTCTGTGTAGTGGTTCTCTTTGAGAATAAGTTGATGAAATCTGAAGAGAGCTTGGTTCCTTTCCCAGGGAAAATGCACAGTTTTACGGGGTTTTATGGCTCCCCTGAAGTCTACTATGGACCCCAGCCTAGGACCCCTGGGGTCTGTTGAGGAAGAGGGAGGTCATCTGGTGCATGAGCACACTAAGTACAGAGAACTACAGTCCAGGTGGCTGGGGGCTGGTGGAAGGGGCGGGGAGCCTGTGTTCCACAAGGATGTCCTGGTGCCTCCTGGATCCCTTCCTTGCTCTGAGGGGCTGTCATGTGGGCTGCTGAATGAGCTCTGACTTTGCCACAAGCTCAGTTTGAGGCTGAGCTGAATCCTGCATTTGTGAACTGGGTCCCATTTGACCAGTTCTTTCTGAATTTGGTTTCTTATTCATCCAGTGAAGACATGTGAGCACCACATATAAACCAAGCCCCTTTTGCTCAGTAATGTCCATTGGAGGTCACAGCATCCACCCCAGAGTGTTGGTACAAGGATCAAAAAAGAATACCTTTGTGATACATCTAGTGCGGTGATCAGGACCATCTTGGTGGGTGCAACAGATCAGCCTTTGAAGCCGAGAGCTAGAGATGCTGGGTGCCTAGACACCGGATTTCTAGAGCTAGAGACGCTGGGTGTTTCCCATGTGGCATGTGGGACTTGATGGCCTTCTCTCTGGCAGCTGTATGCTAGTCAGAAGTACTGCTTGTTGGCTTGAGTTACTTTCCTCTTTTTCCAGTGCCGCTTCCACCTCTGCCTTGGCAGTGAAGCTGCCATTGCCCAAGGCTGGAGGCTCCATGCTCCGGCCAGCACTGAGCTGGCCGACCCGCCTCCCTGGGTGGTTCAGTGCAGGGAAGAGGGCATCATTATAGACACCCTATTCCTATTTTACTCGTTCCAGAAACTCATCCCTTAGCTTCCTGGACCTATACACTTTTGATTTTCCCGGCCACAGACACTGCTCATTCTGCTGGTGACTTCATAGCCTGGCCATCCATGGCGGTGTGCTTCCTGTCTCTGAGAACCTCTCTCCTGCTCTTGCTGTGCTTCGCAGGCTTCCTCTCCTCTCCAGTTCAGCTGTTCTCTGAGAGCAAGAGCTTCCTGATTTTCATCTCTACAACCTTCTACCCAGCATTGCTGTCTCCATGTGTTTGTTCTGCGTTTCCGAAGTGGGATGTACCTTCTGCTCCGCCTGCTCCCAGCCGCTGCCTCTCAGGGTGCCTTGGTCAATGAGTGGGACCTGCATCTGCCTTCCCAGGTTCCCAAGCTAAATAGCTTGGTGTCCTGTGCACACCCCACCCCGCTCCCACCAGCTATGAGTCCTGCTGCTCTACTGCTTCCTCTCCACTCCTGTTGCCACCACCTAGTGAAAGCCACCGCCATCCCTCTTGCATTGCACTTGGTCCCAGCTGGTCCCCTTTAATGGACTTTTCAGCCTACTCAGTCCATCACTCTAACCAGGACTTTTCTGTAGCGCAGGTCTGATGATGCCACTTCCCTGTTTCAAGCTCCTTAAACTGGCTGGGAGGCCTGTGCTAGCTGGTGCTTCTCACCAAGTGGGTCAGGAGCACTGAAGCAGGCTCAGGGCTCTCTTCCCCTCTTCTTGATGTAGCATGCAGTGTGGACTGTACTGTGGCTGCCAGCTTGTCTAATCTGGTGCTGACTGGGCTCTCTAGGTATTTGTTAAAGGAATGCATATATATACATATATATTTTTTTTTAAGAAAATATTTTTATTCAAAGTCATATAACTGCTACAAAGATTTAAATAACATATTGCTAGTTATCTAGGGAGTATTAAGTCATATTCAAACATTTACATAAAAAGACTTGGGCTCCTGCTTCTGACAGGAGTTCTTAGTTGTGACTGAAAGAAACTCAACGTGTCCTAATCATTGAGGGGGATTTGTTGGCTCACACATCACTAAGTCTGGGTCAGATAATGCCAGGCAGGGGCAAAGCCCCGTACACATACAGTGACATCTGGAACCTGTTTCTGTTTCCTGATTCTGCTTTTTCTGTCTTGGCTTCATCCTCAGACAGCCCTTTCCTTTGGGGTGGACGAGACAAATCCAGTAGCTGCAGGCTCACATTCTGTCAGCTGAACAAGCTCAGAGGGGAAAGGGGTGCCCCTTTGCTCAGAGCTCCAGAACATCAGCTTGGACTCACGGCTTGGGTTGAATGCTTGACCCAGAGCCAATCTCTGGCACCTGGGGTGGGAGCTGATAGGTGGGCTTGGGTCACCTGCCCACAAGGAACACATATATTTAACTCTGTTGCCTAGCTCAAAATTCTCTTCCAAGAAACTGCCTCTGTTAAGTCTGTTTATTTACTCAGAACTTAAATACTTAGAGTTAGATTACACATGTGAAAATGCTGCAGTTTTAGTGGGTTTAAGCATTTCCTAGATTGTTGCTTTTTCTTTCATCCTGGTGGGAAGATGCAGAACTGGACTGTGTTGTGTCCATTGGGCCACTCCTCTCAGTTGGAGCCCTTGCAGAGGTCAGTGTGTGCAGGGAGAATGGCTTGGCTTAGTTGGCACCAACACAGGGAAAACAGCAAACAGGTTAGGTTGGATTTCTTTGACTTTTGAGAAGTTTCTTTATGTTAACAGACAGTTCATAAAATGAGAAATGGAATGAATTTTTAAAAAAGGACAGCATTTGACTTTGTAAATTCAAGAAATGCAGACTGAGATGAGATGATGAGATACCATTTTTTAAACTTAAATTAACAAGATGTTTGGTAATTAGCAAACTCTTATATACATGTGAAAATCAATGTTGGCAAAGGTAAAGTGCATTACCAGTGGCCACATAAATGGACGTTTTTGAAAAACAGTTCATCAGTAGTTGTTAAAATAACATTAAAATATTTGTACTTACTCCTACTTTGAAGAATCTAGCTCAAAGAAAAATTCGTAATATGGAAAACTCAGTAAGCATGAAGAGGTTCCTTTACAGCATTAATTTGTAGTAGCAGAAGCTGTAGGAAAATGTAAATGTCCAAAATAGGGGAAATATAATGTTAGTGGATTTTTCAGTGAATATTATTAGCTAGAAATGATGTTTAGGAGGCAAAGCGATGTGTATTGATAAGGAAAGACAACCAAGAGATGCCAGCTAGGAAATGGTGAGACAGAAAAGAAAGTACATGGGATGTCATGTTTGTTAGTCAAAAGATAAGAAATTAGCGCTATGTGTCCATAAAAACTTTTTGGAAAATACACAAGAAAGGGAATAGCACTGGGTGGAAGAAGGCAAGAAACTTTAAAAAAAAAATTGTTATTTGTGGCAATTTTTAAAAACTTTGTGTTCTTATGATACAAAATTTAGAGGTGGTTAAAAGGCTGTTGAACAGATAAAAATGCTTGTTTATCAAGCAAACAAGATGTAAAATGGAACATATGAAGTATAGCTGTCAGCTGCTTGGCATACATCAGAACAGAAGAAGAGATGACAGTATTAATTGGTTGTGTTAAAGTGCTGGGATTATAGATTTTAATTTTTCAGATTAAAAAATTCCTTTGTATTAATTATGAAAATACTACTTTAACAAAGTTGTATGCTTACCAGTACAGGAAAAAGGACCACTTCTTTGCAATAGAGGGAGGATGGATTTGTATTTGCTGTCTGTTCAAGGCCCTGGGCGCCCTGAGGTGATATTGAGCCCCTCTTCATGGTGGCCTTTCCTCAGCTTTGCCTCCAGGCTTTGGCGGTGATGCTTCCCCCTCCGCTCTGTGCAGGGCCCGCCTACCTTTGGGTTCCTGTTGGACGTCGATGGAGTGCTGGTGCGTGGCCACAAGGTGATCCCCGCCGCCCTGGGAGCCTTCCGCAGGCTGGTGAACTCCCACGGGCAGCTGCGGGTGCCTGTGGTCTTTGTCACGAATTCCGGGAACGTCCTACAGCACAGCAAAGCCCAGGAGCTGTCCGCCCTGCTGGGGTTCAAGGTGAGGAGGCGGCTCCCGGGGGACCCCTCTCCAGCTGTGACTAGGCCTCCCTCCCTGGGCTGGAGTACGGCATCGAGAACCCCAGGGCCTGGCCAGTTGGGTTGGCACAGATCTTTCTCCTGAGCAGAGCCTCACCAGCCTGGGCCTTTGTTACTTATCCCTGCGAGTTGAGCACGGAAACCCTGCCCGTGGATTTGCCGGTGTCAGTCTACTGGCCTTGTACCCATTTCTGACTTGTGGGCAGTGGGGTCGTCTCTTTTGGGCTGTTAGCCTTTGGGAGACGTGAGGGTCACATTTTTCTGAATCTTCGTGTAGCAGGCGGGGTGCTGAAGCAGTAGCCCCCGTTTCGCATAGGTAAGGTGTGCACCTGTCCTCAAAGCAGCCCCTCCTTACCCACTGCAGCGCCACGCTGTGTCTCAGCACTGACATGCTCTCCTTTGTTAAGGGGGGTTTCACTTTTGGAGAGTCTTTTGGAACCAAGAGAGTAAATGAAGTGGCTGGCTGGCTGGGTGGGCACAGAGGAAATGAACAAAATGGGTTCCCTTCTAGGGTGTTTGGAGAGGGTCGCTAACCTGCCCTGAGCAAAGGCCACGCTGTTGGAGTGTGAACGTGAAAGAATGAAGTCTAAGCAGAACCGGAAACAAGGTCAAAGGCAGAGGCAGATTTCTGTGTCAGTGACAACATGTGCACAAACCCTGTGGTTTCCAAAAGGGAACCTAGCAGAACAGGACTTGAGAGAGCATTCCTTGCTGGTGTGTTTTGTGTGGCAGGAGCCAAATGGAGCAGGTTCTCACACCTGTGTGGACAGTTTCTCAATTTGTTGGGTGCCAGAAAGAGCTCCCCCCTTTCTGGGCAGATTTATTTCTCCCTTCCTGAAAGGAGCCTCTCCCCCTCACCTCCCTCAGCTGTTGTGCCCCCTGCTGTCCTCTCCCTTGGCTGTCCCCACAGGTGGAGCCAGACCAGGTCATTCTCTCTCACAGCCCCATGAAGCTCTTCTCGCAGTTCCACAGGAAGCGGATGCTGGTGACCGGGCAGGGCCCCCTGCTGGAAAATGCCTGCGGGTATCCTTTTGATCTTGCTCTGGCCAGAGGGGCAGGGCCAGGCCTGGGGCTTTCCTCCCATGGCTACGGGGGACCACAGTGAGGCGTGCTGGACGCAGGGTGCCAGGGCACATGGTTATGTGGTAGGCTGTCAAGGCAGGGAGCACAGCTCCCAGATGTGGCCAGCCCACTGCATCAGAACTTTCTTAAAATACAGATTCCCAGGCCTTACCCCGGCAGTTTCTTGGTTCACTAGGTCTAAGATAAAAATTAGCAACTTGTATTTTAAAAAGAGAATGCGGGGATTCTGCATTGAGGTTTGGGAGCCACCACCTGGCACTGTTCCTCAGGTGCTCAACTCAGCAGTTGTGTTAAGTGTTCACTGAGAACTCATCCTTCAGGGGTTTGCACACTCAGGAAGCAGAGAACTCAGGCCCTGTCCTCAGGCAGCTCACTCAGTGCTCACTCTGCAAGCCTGTTAAGTGCCCGTGCTGCTGTGCCCTCTGGGGGCAACCCCCGGAGAAGCCGGTGGCACTGTGACCTGGGCTTGAGGAGGTGGGAGTGCCACCGCCCTCAAGAATAAGGGAAAGGGAACAGTTACGGTGGTGTAACACTGTTGGCTTAAAAGAGCAGGGTAGCTTCTGGGGTCACCTGTGTTGAGGGGAGATAATATCCTCAGGGTGGGAGTTACCTGTGGCTTCATAGGGGGTGTGGCTGTGCCACAGGATAAGGTGTAGAATTTTCCATGCAGGGTGGGGAGCTGAGGAGGCTGGGAAGAGGAGGGATGGTGAGGACCCCTGAAGCAGGGGATTGGCATGGGATAGGAAGAAAATAAGGGAAAAGGAGGGGTGATGCCAGCCATAGGAAACCTCGGCAGTAGTTGCAGGAAGAGAGTGGACTTCCTGGGAGGGGTGCTGATGGGTGATCTGGAAGAGGCGTCATTGTGGGGCGACTGATTTTGAGGGTAATCTGAACTGAGGGCAGGGCCACGGAAGTGGGTCTTGGAGAGGTAGGTAAGGCTATGTTGGCTTGCCCTCCCCGGGGCCTTCCTGGCGGAAGCAGCTTCACACCCAAGATTTAGCTCAAGTCTGATTTCTCTAGACCCTTAGCCCAGTTACCAGCCCACTGAGGGGCCTCGTCTTCTGAGCTTTGGGGCCTCTGGTGGCAGCATGTCACAGAGCTTGGATTTAGTGGCTCTGGGCATGTGGTGAGCCCTGTAGGACGGAGCTCTTGTGTGCCTCTGCGCCCTGCTGGCACCCAGTGGGGGGCCTGGCAGCAGGAGTGTGTGCAGCAGCCTCTGAAGCACTGCCCTGCATCCCCTTGCAGTGGTCCCCTGCCAGCCCCCCCGGGCTGGTGTTGGCCTAGCTGGTTCTGGGCTCTCTTTGGCTCCCTTTTTTTAGAAACTGGGTAGACTGGGTTGCTTCCCCTGGAACTGTCCAGTCTTGCTTCCGTGACCTTGCCCTAGGCTGGGGTTTGAGAACGTGGTTACTGTGGATGAGCTGCGGATGGCCTTCCCTGGGCTTGACATGGTGGACCTCCAGCGGCGACCGACGACCATGGTACGGGGTGCACTGCCACTCACCCTTTGCTCCTGCCTGGGCTCCTCTCTGGCTCTGCAGCCCCCTGCTGAGAGCTGTTCCTTGTCCGTGTTTTGCAGAGCTGCCTCCTTGGAGAGGCACATCAGGCCAAGGATTTGTTCCCAGATATACCAGAGTGGCCTAGCACCAAACTCCTGAGGGCTTTCCTCTCTGCACTGAGAACAGCTGAGAACAGCTTTCAGAGCCCTAGCCTCTCCTCCAATTAGTTAGTAGTTTCCTGTTTTAGTAGCTGGCTTTCCCATTGTTGCTCAGGAGAATCTTTAACCTTTGTTAAATTTACCAATGCCACTACTGTATCCTGAAGCTGCAAAGAGTTGTCCTTGTGAAAGTAACTGGTGGTTCTGAGTATTTGTTTCTGGCCCTTTTGGGCTCGGCTCATGGTTTGATTTCTTACCTTTTATGATTAGTAGTGATGTGCTCCTCTAGAAGATGGCTGCCCATCATCTCTTCCTCCTGTGAACTCTGCCACAGCCTTTATTTTAAGTCAGGCGACTGTCAGAATGTGTGGAGATGCAGTTGTACGAGACGGGTGGACTTGTGCTTATTGATAGACCTTTGGTTCGCCTTCCTCCAAACACTCTGGGGGACTGGAGCACTTCCTGCTTTGAGAGCTGCCTTCTGAAACCTTGCAGAGTGTGTGCAGGATCAGAATGTCAGAGTTGGAACAGGTCTCAGAACAACCCCACAAGGGAAGGCCCAAGGCACAGAGCGGGTTAATGGCAGAGCTGAGACTCTAAGGGCCTGGGGAGGGCTGGCCCCCAGGAGGTTAGTAAAATGCAGGCGCCTGCCTCCCAGCCTGTTGCGCAGGGAGATGGCCCACTGTGCCCTGAGGGCCTCCTTCTCCATTCCTCTCTAGCTCCCAAATTTTGGGCTCTTGCTTGGCCCATAATTTCAATTCCGAACTCTCTGGAGGACAGCTCTTAGCGCTACCTTCTGGATGGCTTTTATGTGTGGTGTCTCCTCAGCCTGTTCTGTGACTGATGTGGTCCTGCTTTCCTCACCTTTTTTTTTTTTTGAGAGGGCATCTCTCATATTTATTGATCAAATGGTTGTTAACAACAATGAAATTCTGTATAGGGGACTCAACGCACAATCATTAATCAACCCCAAGCCTAATTCTCACAGTCTCCAATCTTCTGAAGCATAACGAACAAGTTCTTACATGGTGAACAAATTCTTACATAGTGAATACGTTTTTACATGGTGAACAGTGCAAGGGCAGTCATCACAGAAACTTTCGGTTTTGATCACGCATTATGATCTATAAACAATCAGGTCAAATATGAATATTCATTTGATTTTTATACTTGATTTATATGTGAATCCCACATTTCTCCCTTATTATTATTATTATTATTATTATTTTTAATAAAATGCTGAAGTGGTAGGTAGATGCAAGATAAAGGTAGAAAACATAGTTTAGTGCTGTAAGAGGGCAAA